TGTGTGTCTCTGTTTCTCTCTGCTGTCTCTCTTTTCTCTCTATACCTCTCTTTGTGTGTCTCTGTCTCTGTCTCTATCGCTCTCTTTCTGTCTCTCTCTCTCCGTCTGTCTCTGTCTCTGTGTGTGTGTGTCTGTCTGTCTCTCTCTCTCTCTCTCTCTCTCTCTCTCTCCCTCTCCCTCTCCCTCTCACCCTCTCTTTCTCTCTCAGATATGATGTAAGAGTCTTACCTCTTAGGAATACAAATTATCCCCCTAACATCAGACAGAAGTAGAGGGGAAAACCTCAAAGTCAAAAGATTTTCCCAGTTATTCTTCATCTTGGTGGGAGAGTTTACTCATCGTGACAAAATATTTTGGTGGCTTGTAGGATCTGACGATAAATCCGGAAGCATTTTCAGAGATATTTATAAAAATACCAACACCAGAGAAAGCTTTGTGGATGTGAAACAATTGTGATTGCTGGCAAGGAAACCCCAGAGGAGTTTTATGCTAATGGAAAGTGTCAGTTCTGCAGCCGATCGCTCTATGATGGGTGCCGCAGTCTCTTAAAATATCCATTTTTTAAAAAAAGAGTCTTTACTTGCTTTTAGACATTTAGAGATTTCGCTCGCATTCACATTTTTTTTTAACCTTTCATTCTACCGTACAGGTAGTCCTCGACTTACAACAGTTCATTTGGTGCCCATTCAAAGTTACAAGGGGGCTGGAAAAAGTGCTTATCTCAGCTGCCCCCTGAGATAAGGAGAATCCAAGACCTTGGTGCCTTCCGCCGTGCCCTTAAAACTTTCTTTTTTCGTCAAGCCGGGCTGGCTTAACATATTTTTAAATTTTTAATTGGTTTGTCATTTTAAACTGGGGCCAAATTAATATATGTTCTTTTAATTGTTCTTAATGTTTGTATTGTATGTTTTTATCTGGCTGTACACCGCCCTGAATCCCTTGGGAGAAGGTGCGGTATATAAATTTGAAATAAAATAAAAAATAAAATAATTTTTTTCCAGAGAACCAATAGTAAAAAAAAAAAAATGCTTAAAAAGTTTTTTTAAAAAAAAAAAAGTTCCGACGATCGCGCGCCACAGCTGTGATCATCTGGAACCTCTTTTTTTTTTTTACCTTTTTAAAGCATTTTTTAACTCCCGGTTCTCTGGGGGGGAAAAAATGCTCAAAAAGTTTTTTAAAAAAATTCTGAAGATCATCTGAGCGACACGCAATCGTTGAAACTTTTTTTTTTTTTTTTACTTTTTAAAGCATTTTTAACTACCAGTTCCAGCGAACCGGTAGTAAAAAATGCTTTTAAAAAAAGTTTTTTAAAAGGTTCCTAACATCGCGCATCACAGCTGATTCTTCCCACCCCCCTCGCTGTTCTACTTACCTTCCCAAGTCTCCTTTTGCAGCATGCTCTTGGCGCATAGCATGTATGCGCGGTTAGCGAACCGGTAACAAACCGGTTCAAATCTCACCACTGAGTCAGATGCCAAGCATCTGAATTCCGATCACATGACCATGGTGACGCTACAGTCGTAAGTGTGAAAAACAGTCGTAAGTCACTTTTTTCGGCACCGATCTAATTTTCGGTCGCTAAACGAATTGAGGGCTTATCTGTATTAATCTACCTGCCCAGTTCAGATCCTACTTGGGCTAACGAATCTTGCCGACGTTTATAGATAGCAGTGTTCCACTTCTTTTGAAAGGTTTGAATGCAGTGGTGAAATGTAAAAGTTGTTACTACCGGTTCTGTGGGTGTGGCTTCGTGGGGGAGGATAATGTGACTGGGTGGGCATGGCCAACTTTTTTTTTTTTTAACTTTTAAAAGCATTTTTTCTCCAACCTCTTCAGCCAAAGAGGTTGCAGAAAAAAATGCTTTTAAAAGCCTCTGATGATCAGGCAGCTCAGCTGGGATCGTCAGAGGCTTTTAAAAGCATTTTTTCTACAACCTCTTCGGCCAAAGAGGTTGTATTAAAAAATGCTTTTAAAAGCCTCTGACAATCCCAGCTGAGCTGCACGATCATTAGAGGCTTTTTTTTTTTAAAGCATTTTTTCGGCCGACTAGGTTGTATTAAAAAATGCTTTTAAAAGTCTCTGACGATCCCAGCTGAGCCACACAATCATCAGAGGCTTTTTTTTTTCTTTCTTTAAAAAGCATTTTTTCGGCCGAAGAGGTTGTAGAAAAAACGCTTTTAAAAGTTAAAAAAAAAAGCCTCTGATGATCATGCGGCTCAGCTGGGCATAGGGGGGGGGATTTTTGCTACCGGTTCTCCGAACAACTCGCCACCATCGCTACCGGATCAGGTGATCCGTTCCGAACTGGGAGCGTTTCACCTCTGGTTTGGTGTCTAAAATGTTCTTTAAAAAAGAAGAGGGGAACAATTGCTCCATAGTTTAGATCTCTTAAGAGAAGCATCTAATGCAGAAAGTAGAATGCCACTGTACAGCATGAGCTTACTCGGAAGTAAGTTCCGTTGGTTTTATTGCTAGGTTAGACTTAGAAAGAATATTTTTATTGTCACTTTGAATGTACATTAATCGGCATACATTAAAATGAAACTTCGTTGCATACAGCTCTCAAAAGATCTCCATCTCTAATACACTACATCATCATCATCTTTTAATGACACCCATAATCCCATGCTGGGTGGAGTCTGGGCAACTGAATGGAGCTGAGTCCTTACTGGATGGATGCCATTCCTGTTGCCAATGCAGAATTTTTGTTCAGCAGATATATTCTCCTTGTGCCCAGAGAGAGAGAGAGAAATATCTGCCTCTACTTAGGATTGAACTCACAGCCTCCTGATTGTGAGGCGAGAGCTCCACCTCCAGGCCACCGTACCACTTCTAATATACACTACATAAACACGACAAAATACATAAATACAAAATTATGCATATACCCACATATATTATATGAATTACATGAATTATATGAACCTTATTAAAAATTATGGTGTTGCACAGCTTTTTTTAAATAGATTGTCAGTTCTTTCCTTTATAATCTCCTTGAAGTTTGCTGGGTTTCACATTTAGATTTAATTGCCCCGAAGCTTAGGGCCTATCTACCTAATTGCATTGCTCTCTATCTAATTGAGGATTATTTTATTTATTTATTTTTTTAATAAAGACACATCGGGGAAAAAGAGTTGGGACTGCCGAGGTGATTTCAAAACCATCCCAGATTTTGTAATAAAAAATATTGGTATTTTTACTTTGTCTAAATGTAGGATCAGGAATCTCTGTCCAAGTCAAAAATGGTTCAGGGATATCGTTCCGAGCCTTTAAAATCTGCTCCTTGTCTCTGATATGATGGATAACCATCAGTTCTTCGTATTTCAAATTTACTTTCTTAACAAAAGTGGAAGCTATCACCAGAAAACAAAACAGCAGTTTTTAAAAGTAGTAATGGCCCAAAAAGAAGAAGGAGGCATTATGTATGTTCACTACCTTGAGTTACTTATAAAAGTCATAAAGTTGGGATAAAATGTAATCGATCAATCAGTTAAGTAAGTAAATGTGTTTTTTTTTAATTAGATTTATATGCCGCCCTTCTCCGGAGACTCAGGGCGGCTTACAATGTGTTAAGCAATAGCCTTCATACTTTTGTATATTTTTACAAAGTCACCTTATTGCCCCCACAAACCGGATCCTCATTTTACCTACCTTAGAAAGGATGGAAGGCTGAGTCAACCTTGAGCCTGGCGAGATTCGAACTTGCAATAATTGCAGACAGCTGAATGTTAATAACAGGCTTTTTAGTCCCAACACTGGAAGTTTTTAAGAAGAGACTGGACAACTATTTGTCTCAAATGGTATACGGCAGTAATGGCTAACCTTTTTGCCATCACGTGCCAAAACCGGGGGGAGTGCAGTGGGGTTGTTCGCGCGGGTGCCCACACCCATAATTCTATGTGCCCCGCCCCCCCGTGCATGTGTGGGGGCCCTCCCGAGGATGAAAACGGCCCATTTCCCAACTTTCAGTGGGACCGGATGGCCCGTTTTTTACCCTCCCCAGGCTCCAGAGACTTTCTAGGAGCCTGGGGAGGGTGAAAACGGCCTCCCCCCCACCCCCCCTCAGAGGCCCTCCGGAGGCCAGAAATGGCCTGATTCCCTACTTCCGGTGGGTCCAGAAGGCCTGAAAATCAGCTGGCCGGCATGCACATGCACGTCAGAGCTGAGGTTGCGTGCCCACCAATATGGCTCCATGTGTCACCTCTGGCATGCGTGCCATAGGTTCGCCATCACGGGTATAGGGTTTCCTGCCTGAGCAAGGGGTTAGACTAGAAGACCTCCAAGGTCCCTTCCAACTCTATTATTCTGTTCTGTTATGTTATGTTATGTCCTGTCCTGTCCTGTCCTATCCTTTCTATCCTATCCTATCCTATTCTATTGATAAACTGCCAAGTAATGTCAAAGGAAGATCACTTTCATTTACTTCTCATATACAGGTAGTCCTCGACTTACAACCACAACTGAGCCCAAAATTTCTGTGGCTAAGCGAGACCGTTGATCAATGAATTTTGCCCCGTTTTACAACCTTTTATTGCCACGGTTGTTAAGTGAATCTGGCTTCCCCAGATTCCGATGACTTTGCTCATCGGAAGGGGATCACTGCAACCGTCGTAACCTGGGACAGTGCCACGGTCTTAAATACGAGCCTGTTTGCCAAACATCCAAATTTGGATCACGTGACGGCAGGGTCGTGATTGTGAAAAACAGTCATAAGGTCATTTTTTTTAGCACCGTCGTAACTTCGAACAGACACTAAATGAGCTGTCGTAAGATGAGGATTACCTGTGTGTCTTACCTGCTTTGGGGGGAAAAAAATTTAGAGACAGATAAGCATTTTTTTTCCCACTCTGCTATTGGATGGAAAAGCATGACAAGCGAAGTCTGTTTCATTCCAACGTTCAGATTTAAGCATTTAATACCAAGTCAGAGAATAATATATGTATATTTCCGTGTCTGGAGAAATGTACATTTTGTTTTTATCTCTCTGTTTTTTCGTTCAGAACAAGCACCTCCCAGGACAGGAGTTCGAATGGATACCTCGGGCAAGTATTATTTTGGCTTCCTTGTGCTACCCTCCATCCTTCCTCCATTTTGTGATGTGCCTTGTTAAATCTCAGCTCGGAGCCACAGTCGGCCCTGAGTAGCCAATCACCATCCATCCCATGTAACGCATCTTATGTGTGTTTCAACTTAACAACGCAAAGAAGGTCCATTTAGTCAGAAATTGTGTAGGGCAGTAATGGCTAACCTTTTTGCCATCGCGTGCCAGGGGGTGCAGGGGAGGTTCGCGCACGTGCCCACACCCATAATTCTATGTGCCCCGCCCTACGCATGCACGCGTGATCCCCCCTCCCACCCTGCTCCTGGCACACGATGGCCCGGTAGGCCCGTTTTTCTCTCTCACCTGGCTCCAGATCTTCTCTATGCATCTGGGGAGGATGAAAACAGCCTTCCCTGCCTCTTCAGAGGCCAAAGGCTGTTTTCACCCTCCCCAGATGCATAGAGAGGATCTGGAGCCAGGTGAGAAAGAAAAGGGCCTTCCCCACCCAAGCCCAGGCCCTCCGGAGGCAGGAAACATCCTGTTTCCCTACTTCTAGTGGGCCCAGAAGGCCCAAAAATCAGCTGGCCAGCTTGCACATGCGTGCCAGAGCTGAGCTGGCATGCCCACGATATGGCTACGCATGCCACAGGTGTAGGGTCTCCTGCTTGGGTGGGGGGTTGGACTAGATGACCTACAAGGTCCCTTCCACCTCTGTTAATCTGTAATCTATAACCCAGAAACGTTCAACCTTCTTCTCTTTTCTTAAGATCTCAATGAAGGGAGAGGTTTAACAAATCCTTTGCCTCTGGAGATTCTCAGTTATCCAGCTTGTGGTTGTCCCAAAGGTGCTTTTTTCAGGAGGCAACTGGACTTTCTTGTGGTTTTTTTTTTCTTTTGAAGACATTTCGCTTCTCATCCAAGAAGCTTCTCCAGCTCTGACTGAATAGCGGGGAATGGAAGGACTGATACTCCTTGCAGACAGCTGGTCATTTGCATCCTTTTAAAGAGGCATTGAGGCCATTTGGAGGTTAATCTGTGTCATCAGGTGTCCTCAACGACTCTCTAAATTAAGAATAATCTCCTTTATTTCCTAGGATTTATTGTCCCCGTTGTCTCTTGTTTGAGGATAGATTCATTACGTATGCAAACCAATCCACCTATTACTTCATCCAGCATGTATTCATATTTACGTAGAAAACTGTTTCCATCTATCAAGTTTCTAACAAACGCCCACAATCCATCGTATTTGTCTTTCTCGCTTGATGTGTGCACCAAAATATTTATTTATTTATTTATTTATTTATTTATTTATTTATTTATTAAATTTCTATACCGCCCTACTCCCGAAGGAAATATAGCATGAGTTTGCCTGATGGTTTAGGAACTATGATATTATTGTTTAGTTCTTTAGATTTAAATCCAATCCATTGCGTTTCCCTCCATTTGACTAGTTTAATCCACTGCATTTCGGACCTATTTCCCAGATTATTACAGGTGTGAGATCTCATAATAGATATGATAAACAAATGTGTAATTTACAAGGAATGTAACTGTCAACAAAATTTAGAGAGCTTTATATTTATAATTTGGCTGTAGGTGTCACTTTTAGCTTCAGCTGTGTTTTGCTTAGTTTTTAGTATTAATTTATCAGTAGATTTAAATATTTAAAGGTGTGCTAAATGTCTCGATGTTTTCTAAATATAGAATGCAATCATTTTAATGTTGAAGAGCTTTAATGCTGGCCTAAAAGTGATTTACTGGCTTTGTTCTATTTATTAATCAAATTTACGTCGCCAGCCGTCTCACAGAATGTGACTCTGGGCAGCGTCCAACAATTTTATTTCAATAAAAATAGAAAACAACATGGATAGCAGAGGTGGGTTTCAGCAGGTTCTGACCAGTTCTGAAGAACCGGCAGCGGAAATTTTGAGTAGTTCAGAGACCCGGTAGTAAAAATTCTGACTGGCCCCACCCCCATCTATTCTCTGCCTCCCAAGTCCCAGCTGATTGGGAGGAAATGGGGATTTTGCAGTACCCTCCCCCTGGAGTGGGGTGGGAATGGAGATTTTACAGTATCCTTCCACTGCCACGCCCACCAAGCCATGTCATGCTCACCAAGCCATGCCCATAGAACTGGTAGTAAAAAAATTTGAAACCCACCACTGATGGATAGCTTGTATAAAATGTCAACTACATCCATGGCAATGTTGCCGCTGCCATGATTTGATAGTTGTGAAATCTTAACTCCATGATTTTATCTGTTCGTGTTTGTTGTGACCCAGGCCCAAGTAAGTAGTAGGAAAATCAGTCAGTGAAAAAACAAACAAACTTTATTCGAACAGCTGAGAATTACTTCATTCCCAGCGTCGTTCAACTAAATTAAAGCAAATTCCTCCCAACACAAATTCCTCAGTCCTATCGCAAACCTTGGTCCAATTAGGCAAACTGCCAAAGGCCTTTCTTGGCAAACGTTCAGAAGTCACAGATACAAAAATAAATACAAGACGTAGATGAAGAAGACGACAAAGCTACCAATGTTGTTTTCCGGCAAAGCCCAAAGGCCGTTACTGGTCTGTTTTAAGCCTTATGCGAGGGGCCAATCATCTCTTGGCCCTACTCCCGAGTTGTCCTCTTTGCTTGAGCTGCTCTTGCCTTCTGGCAGCTCTTCTCATGCGTGCACTAGGAACAGGCTCCTCCTGTTCCTTTGCCTCACTCCTATCAGTCTCTGGAGGCTTCGGAGTCCGCACATCACTCCCCGATGGCCCTGGCCCCATCTCTGCCTCCGACGCAGAGCCCTCATCCAGGCCTTCTCCAGCCTCCAGGACTGGCCCATGTTCTTCCTCAGCCTCATCGCTGTCCGACTCCGCTACCAACTCTGCAGGCTGCTGGCGGACCACAGCAGCTGTGTTGTTGTTTTCTTAATGATGGATGATTGTTATGTTTTGCAATCAGCAGTGGGTTTCAGATTATGTTACTACCAATTTGCCCCCATGCGCGCATGCTCGCTTCATGCGGGCATGCACCCGGTTCGCACGCATGCCTGACTTCCACGCATGAGCCCAGCTTTCCGTGCATGTGTTTTGCTCACGCGTGCGCCTTCTGTGCATGCTCAACCTCAAAAATGTGTCTAAATAGGATGGCATAGAGCAGGGGTGAGGCCGCCCCCGCCCACCCACGATTTCCGCTACCGGTTCGGGTAATCCGGCCCGAACCAGCTGAATACCACTTCTTTTTGCAATTTTTTTTTATGTTGTAAGCCACCCAGAGTCATTGGATACAAGCTGGGCTACAAATAAATTTCACAAATAAATGAATAATAACTGCCAGAATCCTAAAATAGCACAATTTTTTTTTTATTTGGCATGGAATACCCCGTTTACAAAACCCGCATAGGCTAAGCAGCCCATGGCCATGTGGAATGAGTGTATATGGAAAATTTGGAAGTCTTCTGAGAATATTTAAGTTTTCTTCAGTTGAACTTCTGCTCTCTTGCTTGTAAATCTTTCCTTTAAAAAAAAATCTATTGAGATTGCCTTTGGAATTTTCTTTTTTTCCCCATAAACTCTTGGTCCTAAAACGCTGTAGCAGTATTATATATAAACCCTTAAAGATTAAGTGTAGGACAGTGGAATGTTGATTGGGCTGATAAAAGTTCAAACCAGTGGTGAAATATAAAATTTGTTACTACCGGTTCTGTGGGCGTGGCTTGTGGGGGGGGTAATGTGACTGGGTGGGTGTGGTCAACTTTTTTGTTTTCTTTTAAAAGCATTTTTTTTTTTGCTTTTAAAAGAAAAAAAAGCCTCTGACGGTCAGGCAACTCAGCTGGGATCGTCAGAGGCTTTTAAAAGCATTTTTTAAACAAGCTCTTTGCAAAGAGGTTGTAGAAAAAAATGCTTTTAAAAGCCTCTGATGATCCCAGCTGAGTCATGCCATCATCAGAGGCATTTTTTTTTAAACTTTTTTATTTTTTGGCCGAAGAAAAAAATGCTTTCAAAAGTTAAAAAAAAAAAAGCCTCTGATGATCACATAGCTCAGCTGGGCATGGGGGGAGCTACCGGATCGGGCGAACCGGTCCGAACCGGGAGCATTTCACCCCTGGTTCAAACGATTTCTGGAGGACCGCAATGTTTGCTGTCTTGAAACGAGTCAATCCCACCGATGCAGGTATCCAAAACCATCTTCGAAAGCATGATTTGCTAATTTAAAAAAAATTGAGGGGGCTCCAAGAAAGTAAATCACATGAATTTTGATATGGATGTAGAGCCATTGCTCCATAACAGGAGAGTGTCTGTAGAGATTCTCAGTCATCCAAGTCGTGGTTATTATCCCAAAGGGGCTTTTTCAAAAAGCAACTGGACTTTCTGGTTTTTCTTTGAAGACGTTTCGCTTCTCATCCAAGAAGATTCTTCGGTACAAAGGAGAGAGGTTTGGGAGGAGGAGGAGGAGGAGGAAGTCTGTGCGGTCTTTGGTGCTCTATGAGATTGGTGGTTGCAGACAATTTATTACCCAAACTAGTTAACATCATCAGTGACTGATAATGTTATCTAGTTGGGTCATGAAATGTCTGCAAGAAAATCAACCAAGCTCAGAGAGCACCAAAGACCCTGGATAAAAGTGAGACTTTCAAAGCTTTTTGATGTAAAAAGGTAAAGGTTCCCCTCGCACATAAGTGCTAGTCGTTCCTGACTCTAGGGGGCGGTGCTCATCTCCGTTTCAAAGCCGAAGAGGCAGCGCTGTACGAAGACATCTCTGTGGTCATGTGGCCGGCATGACTCAATGCCAAAGGCACACGGAACGCTGTTACCTTCCTACCAAAGGTGGTCCCTATTTTTCGACTTTCCTTTTTTACGTGCTTTCGAACTGCTAGGTTGGCAGAAGCTGGGACAAGTTACGGGAGCTCACCCCGTTACGCGGCACTCGGGATTCGAACCGCTGAACTTCCGACCTTTCGATTGATAAGCTCAGCGTCTTAGCCGCTGAGCCACCATGTCCCTTTTCTATAGACTGGCCATGCCCAATTCCTGCAACCATTTCTTCATATGTTTTTGTCTCCAGGCCTTTAATCCTCTTAATTGCTCTTCTTTGCACTTTTTCCAAACTCTCGACTTTTTTTTTTTTGGTAATGTGGTGACCAAAACTGGATGCAGTATTCCAGGTGTGGCCTTAATATATGCAAATATAAGACTGGGCAACTTCAAAAACTAATTTTAAAAAGTCCTTTGGAAAGTGTCATTCATTCCTTAGAGCAGCAGTCTTTTTTTTTTTTTTCATAAGTTCACATACAAGGCCGAAATCAACTCTCCATCAACTATTATCTTGAACCAGGTTCCGATTACAAGGAGTTAGATGTTCATCTTCGGAGAATGGAATCCGGATTTGGCTTCAGAATTCTTGGAGGAGATGAACCGGGACAGCCGGTAAGTGGGTTCTTGACAACTTTATACAGGTGGACTGCTAGGGGTTCGCAAGAGTTCGGGAGAACCTCTAGCTAAGATTCTGTGCAGTTCGGAGAACCTCCAAATCCCACTCCTGACTGGCCCCGCCCACCCCACCCCTCCCAGGAGTCTCCAAACGGTCCATTTTGGATGCAGGTAAGTACAGGGCACACACGGAGGCTCGGGGAGGGTGAAAAACAGGCCTACCGGAAGTTTGGGAAGGCCGAAAACGGGCCTGTTTCCAGAGGGTTTCCAGAGGCCGTTTTCGCCCTCCCGGAGGCTCAAGAAAAGCCTCCGGAGCCCGGGGAGGGCAAAAACGCCCCGCCCCTGCCATGGTGCAGGAGGCTGACTAGGCCACGCCCACCATGGCCACGCTCACCCAGCAACCAGGCAGAGAACCCCTTGTTAAAATTTTTGAAGCCCACCCCTGTTGGTGTCTATACCTATCAGAAATATATACTTGGATAACGGCGGTAGCAAAATGGCAATTTTTTTAAAAAAAACTTGTTCACATATTGAAGAAAAGCAAGCCTCTTGACTGATCACCGTCTCCATCTACAAGCTGCCATTGCGAATCAGTCTGTACGATGTTACCCAGAGTGTATTGTCCGTCTTTTTACGCACCTCGTTTGTTTTTTTTTTCTTGGCATCATTCCAACGATTCTGATTTACAAACTCCTGCAAAATGTCTTCAGGTAGTATAAAGCTCCGGTTTGGGCAACCAAACAGCACGATTGTCCTTCAATGTTTTTCGGAGAAAATGAGCATCGTGCATTGCTACACGGCTCTGGGAAAAAAATGATTGCTGGGGAAGTATAATAATGCTGGGATTTTGAGGAATGCGTTTTAGCAGTCTGCTTATTGTTCATTCCTGAAACCGTCAAGTCTGTATCTTGAGATTCAGTTGCATTCTGAAATTCATAAGGCTGTGATTTGCAGTATTCGTTCAACATTGCAGCATCCAATCACAATGGAAACATTTTCCATTTGGTTTCCATCAATTTTATTTCACTCACGGACCAGTATAGAACTAGTAACACAACACTTATGCCAAAATAGATATAAAAGTAAAGAATAGAGTAGAGTAGAGTAGAGTAGAGTAGAGTAGAGTAGAGTAGAGTAGAGTAGAGTAGGTGTAGTGTAGAGTACAATACAATACATACAATACAATACAATACAATACAATACAATACAATACAATACAATAGAACAGAGTTGGAAGGGACCTTGAAGGTCTTCTAGTCCAACCCCCTGCTTAGGCAGGAAACCCTACGCCACTTCAGACAAATGGTTATCCAACATCTACTTAAAAACTTGCAGTGTTGGAGCATTCACAACCTCTGGAGGCAAGTTGTTCCACTGGTTAATTGTTCTCACTTTCAGGAAATTTCTCCTTAGTTCTAAGTTGCTTCTCTCCTTGATTAGTTTCCACCGGTTGCTTCTTGTCCTGCCTTCAAGTGCTTTGGAGAATAGGTTGACCTCCTCTTCTTTGTGGCAACCCCTGAGATATCGGAACGCTGCTATCATGTCTCCCCTAGTCCTTCTCTTCATTAAACTAGACGTACCCAATTCCTGCAACTATTCTTTATATGTTTTAGCCTCCAGTCATCCCCTAATCATCTTTGTTGCTCTTCTCTGCACTCTTTCTAGAGTCTCAACATCTTTTTTACATCGTGGCGACCAAAACTGAATACAGTATTCCAAGTGTAGCCTTCCCAAGGCTTTATAAAGTGGTATTAACACTTCACATGATCTTGAAGATCTCCATTAGTTCTATGGTATTGTCAGCCCTCCAAAATAGACCAGAGTAGGAAACCAAAGTTATATAAGCTAACATTAAAAAGATAAAGGTTTCCATGTCCAGTCATGTCCAAGTCTAGAGCACAATGCTCATCTCCGTTTCTTGACCGAGGGAGCCAGTGGTATCCGAAGACACTTCCGTGGTCATGTGGCCAGCATGACTATACGTCAAAGGAACATTGTTACCTTCCCACTAAAGTGGTACCTATTAATCTACTCATATTTGCATGATTTTGAACTGCTAGGTGGCCAGGAGCTGAGAGAGGAACAAAAGCTCACCCTGTCACATGGAGGTTGGGTCTCAAACACAGAATGTCCGCTTTCCAACTGGCAGGTTCAGCATCTTTAACCACTGAGCCATCACGCCCCTTAGGCTTCCATTACACTCTTGAAAATCTGAATAAGCTTTTTCCATCCCTCCCCTTATCTTTGTTTGAACTAGGGAAGGTCTTGTTTGAGATGCATACTTGGTTACAGATCTGGTCCAGATTCGGATTACTTTTATCTGACCATTTCTTGGTTGTAACTTTTCCTCCTGTTCCTGAAAGTTATTCCTCTTATCCATTACTATGTCAGGCGCCGGGGAAATCAAGAAATTCAGGCAATTCAAATGAATATAAAGATTGATTCGAAGGTTAAGCTGTCTCCAAGAATCTGGCCAACTGACAGTCAAGGGAAATGAGTGGGAGATAAGAAAGGCATTCAAGATGAGCTGGATTTAGATCTCTTGCGGTCGTACAGGGACTCATGACATATGACATGTTTGATCCCGCCCTTGGGCTCAGCCTGGTCATCTCCTACATACTGATGTATAGAAGTCCAAAAGGGGGGGGCACAGTTGTTTGGAGCTGATACTAGTCTTCTCCCCCCACTCTCTGTTTATCTTTTATATTCGCTATGCTCTGAGACATTCCAAACTCTTAGGTTCCTCTTTGTCCTTGATGACAAAGGGTCAAATAACATCTTACTTTTCTTTTTCTTTTATGTTTTTTTCTTTTCAAAGGCACACGGGATTCTTCAGCCTGGAAGAAAACCATATGTAGACTCTTTAAAAATAATGCTTTATGTAAAGACGCCTGAGGATGGGCTCCTCAGCCAAAGTCAGTTGTTCATCAAGGAATTTTTTTTTATTGCAACAGCTGTGAATTATATTCATTCACAACTGAGTCCCAATTAGTTGCAAAAAGTCCTTCAGGATAATCACCAACCTTTATCTCCCTTGACACTCTGCCAAAGACCTACTTGGCAAAGCCACACGGAGTCCAGGATCAAACAGAGATGCCGACTGGGAAATGAATTAACAATGTTGCTTTCCTGTAAAGTGCCCACGTGTCTTTGCTCCTCTTTTAAGCCTTATGGGAGGAGCCAATCATCTCCAGGCCTTCCTCCTGCGTCGTCCCTTTTGTTTTAGCTGCTCTTGCCTTCTGGCAGCTCTTCCCATGCGTACACTAGGAACAGGCTCCTCCTGTTCCTCTGCCTTTCTGCTGTCTGACTCTGGAGGCTCCGGAGTCCGCGCATCACTCCCAGATGGCCCTGGCCCCATCTCTGCCTCCGATGCAGCGCCCTCATCCCGGCCCTCCCCAGACTCCAGGACTGGCCCATGTTTCTCCCCGGCCTCCTCACTGTCTGACTCCACTGCCAGCTCTGCAGGCTGCTGGCGGACCACAACAGGGGTTTTAAAAAATGTGTATATTTTCACTGGAAAACTCCTGGGCTCCTTTGGGGTGTCATTAAAGCTCTTAGATGACAGCGCTAATATATTTGCCTATGAAGTAATCTAATATTGTTGCTCAGTGTCCAAGACGCAGAACTAATGGCATGCCTTCACCACTGACTGATTTATACACACATCTATGCTTCCCTTATGATATCCGTCAATGCTTCATCAGATGAAGAATGACTCCACTGGAAAGCATTACTCATTTCGTTCACGCTCTCAGTTGAGCTGAATATTCAGTCAAAGGTCATTTGTGTTCACAAAAGCCGAAGTGCATACAGTAAATATCGGCTGTGCAATCACCCCAAGGATTGTGCTGAAGCATCTGGATGCTTGATTGTTTTCCTTGTAGTCCTTGACTTACAACTGTTCACTTAGTGACCATTCATAGGAACAATGTCACTGGGAAAAAGGAACGTACCAGGGGTCGTTCAGCTCCCAAACAAAGAGAACCGGTTCGGTGACATCATATTGTCACTGCTACCGGCTTGGGGAAACCGGGCCGAACCGGGAGAAACCCACCACTGGAACGTACAGCCGTTTTTCCAGAGTTACAACCTTTGCAGCATCCCCATGCTTACGTGATCAAAATTCAGAATGCTTGGCAACTGATTCGCATTTATGACGGTTGGGGTGCCCAAAGGTCATGTGATCCCCCCCCTTTTGCAACCTTCTGATGAGCAAAGTCAATGGGGAAGCCAGATTCACTGAACAACCGGGTTCCTAACTTAACAACTGCCGTGATTCACTTAACAACGATAGGGCAAGGAAGGTCCTAAAACTCAAGTTAGCAATAGAAATGTTGGGCTCAATTGTGGTTGTAAGTCGAGGACTATGTGTATAAATAAGCCATCGGAGATCAAGCACCTGGCACGGAATTTCGATAACGCTTCATGCACCATGCTTTCTAATCAAGCGGATTCCCAAACGAAACGGGAATCCTTCTGAAATAACTGATCACTCCATCACTCTTCATGATCTGTGATGTTTATCACTGATTAGGGACTTCTTTCTTCTTCTTGTAAGAGGCAACTCTTCCTCTGAAGGGTACATGCTGTGAAAGTAACTTTCATATTACGTGGGGTCCTTGGTGCTCTCTGAGCTTGGTGGTTTTCTAACAGACGTTTCATTAGCAAACTAGATAACATCATCAATGCTAATGTGCAGATCAGTAGCACTCATGATTTTACCTAGTCGGGTAATGAAATTTCTGCAGGAAAAGAACCAAGCTTAGGGAGCACCAAGGACTCCCCAGTCCTCCTCCTCTTCTTCCTCCTCCTCCGTTCTCCTCCTCCTCCTCCATTTCACAAACTCCACTCCCTTCTAGAGCTGATGACATTACCTAGTTAGGTCATGAAATGTTTGCAAGAATCTAGGTCAGAGAGTAACAAGGACCCCATAGTCATTGTTGTCATCCTCCTCCTCTCCACAAACCCCACTTCCTTCTAGCACTGACAACATTATCTGGTTGGAAGAATCAAACTCAGACTACTAAGGATCCCTCAGTCCTCCTTTTCCTGCTCCTTCTCCTCCTTCTCCTCCACACAAACCCCATTCCCTTCTAATACTGATGACATTACCTAGTTGTGTCACGAAACGTCTGCAAGAATCAAGTTCAGAGAGTACCAAGGACCCCACACTCCTTCTCCTCACAAATCCCATTCCTTCTAATACTGATGACATTATCTAGTTGGGTTATGGAACATCTGCAAGAATCAAACTCTGAGTACCAAGGACCCCTCAGTCCTCCTCCTCCTCCTCCTCCTCCACACAAACCCCATTCCCTTCTAAATTTGATGACATTACCTAGTTGGGTCATGAAACGTCTGCAAGAATCAAGCTCAGAAAATACCAAGGACCCCATAGTCGTCATCCTCCTCCTTCTCTCCACAAACTGCACTCCCTTCTAGCACTGATGACATTGCCTAGTTGGGTCATGAAACGTCTGCAAGAATCAAGTTCAGAGAGTACCAAGGACCCCACACTCCTTCTTCTCCTCCTCACAAATCCCATTCCCTTCCAATACTGATTACATTACCTAGTTGGGTCATGAAACATTTGCAAGAATCAAGCTCAGAGTGCATCAAGTCCTCCTCCTCCTTTTCTTCCTCCTCCTCTTCCTCCTCCTCATATCTTTCCTCCTCCTCCTTCTCCTCTTCCTCCTTCTCCTCCTCTCTACAAACACACTCCCTTCTAGCGCTGTTGACATTGACTAGTTGAGTCATGAAACTTCTGCAAGAATCAAGTTCAGAGAGTACCAAGGACCCCCACACTACTACTACTACTACTACTACTCTCCTTCTTCTTCCTCCTCTCCTTCTTCCTCCTCCTTTTCCTCCTCTCCTTCCTCCTCCTCCTTCTCCTCCTCTCTACAAACACACTCCCTTCTAGCGCTGATGACATTGACTAGTTGGGTCATGAAACTTCTGCAAGAATCAAGTTTAGAGAGTACAAGGACCCCCTAACTCCTCTTCCTCCTCTCCTTCCTCTCCTCCTCTTCCTTCTCCTCTTCCTCCTCCTTCTCTCTACAAACAGTCTCCCTTCTAGCGCTAATGAGACATTGACTAGTTGGGTCATGAAACTTCTGCAAGAATCAAGTTTAGAGAGTACCAAGGACCCCCACAGTCCTCCTCCTCCTCTCCTTCCTCCTCCTCCTCCTCTCCTTCCTCCTCCTCCTTCTCCTCTTCCTCCTCCTCCTCCTCTCTACAAACAGTCTCCCTTCTAGCGCTGATGACATTGACTAGCTGGGTCCATGAAGGAAGACCACCCAACTCAGACAGCACCAAGGCCCCCACAGTTCAACTCTGAGCTACAGATATTCCCTTCTTTCGCTTTCATAACATTGCTTCATTTATTTAATCATGTTACAGTGAAGGTCCTTAGATTCCCAGTTCCCACATTGCAATAGTCCATTATCGACTGTGCCAGCCCCCCCTTCCCCTCAACTCTCGCAGCAGAGAAAGCAAGTCAAAAGCCAGGTTCTAAAATTAAATGAGATGTCAAAAGATAACAACACAATTCACACAGAACATTCATTTCTCATCTGCGGAAAGCAGAAAGTTCTTTAATAGCCCAAGTGTCTAATCAACGTTTTACAACACAAAATGTATTATCAGATTAAAATCGAGAGAGGAGCAACCCTACCCAAAGACCAGGCAGTTGCAATTATCTTGTCTCGGAGCCTTCAGGAGTTCACACACCACAACCACAATTTCTGCTAAAACAAGACTTCTGAAGAAAGCAATTTCTCCAGCTAGGGCATGGGCCATAGATTACCGGTACCAAATAAATCCTTTTTAAAAACCAAAATAGTTGGTTTTTTTCCTTGCAAAACTCTGGTTTTCTCGGTGTCCTATATACTTACAGACTTAATTGCATGTGAGTTTATATTTTTGAATTTTCAATCCATCCTTTAAAAGGGATTTTTTTGGGAATGGGTGCTGTAATTGTTGCATATGTATGGGTTCAATGGTGAAATCCAGCAGGTTCTGACAGGTTCTAGAGAACTGGTAGCGGAAATTTTGAGCAGTTCGGAGAACCGGTAGCGGAAATTTTGAGTAGTCCAGAGAACCGGCAAATACCACCTCTGGCTGGGCCCAGAGTGGGGTGGGAGTGGAGATTTTGCAGTATCCTTCCCCTGCCATGCCCACCAAGCCACGCCCACCAAGCCACGCCCACAGAACCAGTAGTAAAAAAAAATTGGATTTCACCACTGTATGCGTTGCTATTTGAATTACGAATCCCAGTGCTACTTAAGAAAAACGGTACTTCTAATTCCTTCAAAAAGCTTGAGTTATGGTTATTAAAGGTAGTCCTCGACTTCCAACAGTTCATTTAGTGACCGTTCAAAGTTACGACGGCATTGAAAAGAGCGACTTATGACCATTTTTCTAACTTTATGACCGCCACAGCATCCCGATGGTCATGTGATCAAAGTTGCTTTGTCCAGTGGTTCATATTTATGACCATTTTGTCACACTTACGACCGTTGCAGCATCCCCAGGGTCATGTGATCAAAATTCAGACGCTTGGTCAACTGACTCATAGTTATGACGGTCGCAGTGTTCCCGGGGGTCACGTGATCCCCTTTTGCGAACTTCCGACAGGCAAAGTCAACGGGGAAGCCAGATTCACTTAACAACCATGTTACTAACTTAATAAGTGGCATGATTTACTTTACAACTGCGGCAAGGGAAGTTGTAAAATGGGGCAAAACTCTCTTAAGAAATATTTCATTTAGCAACATAAATGTTGGGCTCCATTGCGGTTGTAATTCGAGGACTACCTGTATTAGGGACGATTCTCTTCATCTTCTATGAATGAGGACTCCCGAATCCTATTGCAAAATTACACGCACACACACACAAAATCTGGATTATAACAAAGGAAAATTCCAGAGGTGGGCTTCACAAAATTTAACAACCGGTTCGCCCCCCCAGCACCGAAAATGTGAGCGCACACAGCCTTCTGTGCATGTGCATTGCTCACATGCACGCTTGCACACGTGTGCGGCTTAAAAATGCAGCTAAATAGGATGACATAGCACCAGGGCAGATGGGAGGGCCCCCCTGCAGGTCACAAATACTGATTCGGCCAAACCGGTCCGAACCGGCTGAAGTCACCCCTGGAAAATTCAACCCACCGATTACAGAATTCTGGAAATTTGTTGGCTGGTTTCATATTTCCATTTCTCACATCCTTTGTTTGTTCGGACTTAGATTCTGATCGGGGCCGTCATTGCGATGGGCTCGGCTGACCGAGATGGCCGCTTGCATCCTGGCGATGAATTGGTTTACGTGGACAGCATCCCTGTGGCGGGCAAAACTCACCGCTACGTGATTGATCTCATGCATAACGCAGCTCGGAACGGGCAGGTGAACCTCACGGTGAGAAGAAAGCTGCCACCTACAGGTGAGTTGAGGATTTGCAGGGATGACATTTTTTTTAAAGTCAAGTTTTTTTTTTATTTACAGTAGTGGCCAAAATTGTGGAAACCTTCTGGGAAAAGTGTATTTTTGAGATTTGATGGTTAATAACACCACTTTTTTGGGGGGGAGTTTCAAGATAATCCTATTCCACTGCTGGAATGGCCTGGGAATAGCCCAGACCTTCACCCAATTGAAAATCTATGGAGCCGACTAAAGAAACTTGTTAATCAGAAGAAACCCAGCAATAAACCCCAGTTAATTAAAGCAATCCTTCAATCTTGGTTTCACGTTATAACAGCTGCAGAACTCAAAGACTTGGTTCACTCCGTGGGAAGACGTTGTAAGGCCGTCATTCATGCTATTAATTGACATGATGATAATTTTTGTATATCTCGTTTTTTCTATGGTGGTAATTTTTTGTATATCACGTATTTCACTTTTCTTCTTTATACTGTAACTGCTATTCTAATAGCAAATCCTTCATGAAAGTTATTGCCTTACATTCTTGATTAAATGATCTTTCCATTGATCTATAATTTTAGTGTGTGTGACGTGGACATTGGAACTTGGTGAGGGTTTTTGCAACATCATAGGGAAGTTTGCAATGATGACCGTATTAAAAAGTAACCAGCTCTGTAACACCTTAAAGATTAACGCATAAATTCTGCCATCAGCCTTAACCGATTGCTCCCACTGCACAGTTTTTTTCGCCGCAACCGGGAAACACAGCTTTCCTTTCCAACATTATTACATTAAGCCACTTTTATTTGCAACGCCTTACCTAATGGGGCCTAAAAATGGAATTTGCCTTTTTCACAGCTATCTTGAGGTGGCGGAAGGTTTCCATGTACAATTTACCATGTTCTTTTTTTTTTCTCCCCTTAATAATTCCTAATGTGGAATTTGTCTTTTTTTCCAAAGGTTGATAGTTTCCTTGAACCGGTCCCCATAACTGCAGGAATTTATTTTATTTTCTTTTCTTTTTTTTAAATAATTTTTATTGAGTATTTTACATTTTAAAACCAAACACACAATAGCAAAAGAAGTCAAGGGACAAAAACAAAAACACACCCCATCAAACATTAAAATACAATACTAACAACAGATATATACAATTTTACAACTTTCTGCATCGACTTTTATCTTTACTGTTAGCTTTTATCCTCCCGCTCCTTCTCTTTATTTTTAAATATTCATAATTAACTGTTTTGTTAGCAGGATCGTTATTTACATTTATATCCAGTATGTTAATATCAAATTTCATTTTATATTCCTATTTGATTTATATTTGATTTCTATTTTCCAACCATATATAAAACCTATTCCACACTTTATAATAATCAGAGTCTTCTCTTTCTCTGATCTCCATCGTTAATTTATCCATTTTGGTGCATTTGAGGATTTTCTTTATTATTGTTTCTTCCGATGGTGCATTGGTCGACTTCCACATTTGCGCTAGAGTAATTCTCGTTAGAATATGCAATATAATATAATAGAGACTTTTTTCCATTTTTCTATCAATCATTCCTAGGAGGAACATCTCTGGATTAAAATCTATCTTTTGGAGTGTAATCTCTTCCAACCAAGGAAGAGATTATTTTCTAAGCAGTCAAACTAGGGAAATGTCCTCAACATCAAGATTGATACGGAAAATGTTTCGGTACAAAGTGTGTCTCTTGATAGATGTTTGCACTGAAATGCGTTTGCTGTGGCCGTGGCCATTCCTTCCGTTTAGAAAGATCTATTTTCATCACAGTAGCAACTATGAATGTCTCATTCTTGCTCCTCACTCACACACTCTTTTGATGATCTCTATAATAAGGTTGGTACACGTGGTGGCTGAGTGGCTAAGATGCTGAGCTTGTCGATAGAAAGGTCGGCAGCTCAGCGGTTCGAATCCCTAGTGCCGCGTAACGGAGTGAGCTCCCGTGACTTGTCCCAGCTTCTGCCAACCTAGCAGTTCGAAAGCACATAAAAAAGGCAAGTAGAAAAATAGGGACCACCTTTGGTGGGAAGGTAACAGCGTTCCGTGTGCCTTTGGCGTTGAGTCATGCCGGCCACATGACCACGGAGACATCTTCGGACAGCGCTTGGCTCTTCGGCTTTGAAACGGCGATGAGCATCGCCCCCTAGAGTCAGGAATGACTAGCACTTATGTGTGAAGGGAACCTTTACCTTTTTACGTCAAAAAGCTTTTAGAATCTCACTTTTATCCAGGGTCTTTGGTGCTCTCTGAGCTTGGTTGGTTTTCTTGCAGACGTTTCATGACCCAACTAGGTAACATTATCAGTCACTGATACATCATTGATGATGTTACCTAGTTTGGGCAATAAGTTGTGTGCAACCACCAAGCTCATAGAGCACCGAAGACCCCACAGTCTTTCTCCCCCTCCTTCTCCCATTCCTTGTCCCAAACTTCCCTCCTTTGTAGCACTGAAGATGTTACCTAGTTGGGTAATGAAATGTCCACCAAGGCACCAAGGGCCCCTCAATCCTCCTCCTCCTCCAAAATCTCCCTCTTTTGGAACACTGATGATGGTACCTAGTTGAGTAATGAAATATTCAGGAGAAACAAACGAAGCTCAGAGAGAACCAAGGAATCATCATTTCAACCCTGAGCTACAAATATTCACTTTTATTGATTCTTTCATCAGTACAGAATCTCCACTTAGTCTATTTCTGTCCATTTCTCCATTCTCCATTCTGTACAACAAAAAATACCTCCCTATCTTTTCACAAAGGAGGAGGAGAGGGGGAGGGGGAGGAGGAGGAGGAGGAGGAGGAGGAGGAGGAGGAGGAGGAGGAGAATGGATGGATGAATGGATGGATGGATGGATGGATGGATGGATGGATGGATGGATAGAGATGGAAGAAAGAAGAGGAGGAGGAGGAGGAATGGAGGAGGAGGAGATAAAAGGAGAAGGAGGAAGTAGACAGGAGGAGGAGGAAGTAAGGAGGAGGAGGAGAAGAAGAAGATGGATTGATGGATGGATGGATGGATGGTGGTTGGATAGAAATGGAAGAAAGAAGAGGAGGAGGAGGAGGAAAGGCAAGAGTAGGAGGAGATAAAAGGAGAAGGAGGAAGTAGACAGGAGGAGGAGGAAGTAAGGAGGAGGAGGAGGAGAAGAAGAAGATAGATGGATGGATGGATGGATAGAGATGGAAGAAAGAAGAGGAGGAGAAGGAATGGAGGAGGAGAGGAGGAGGAGGAGGGGGAAGAAGAAGAAGAAGAAGAAGAAGAAGAAGAAGAAGAAGAAGAAGAAGAAGAAGAAGAAGAAGAAGAAGAAGAAGAAGAAGAAGAAGAAGAAGAAGAAGTTGTTTTGAGAGAAAGATGCATTAAGATATTCAATAAATTCATCCGAAGATTGCATATGTTTGCAAGGTCCTTGGATCCCAAGGATCTTAACTACAGTGGAAGAGATTGTGAATAAATCTTGTTTTGAGACCTGCTATTCAATTAGGAACAGCCAGTGACTGATACAGAGATTTTTACATTTGTTTTTCTTAATTTACCATCTAGGCCAGGTGATTTATTAATTTGCAATTTACCAGTAAGACCAGAGTTTCAGCTCTTGTCCCTGAAGTCCACTGTTTGACATAATTTGGCATGATTTAATTACAGCGCCACATTCTGCAGCTTCTTGGAATTTAATTCCACTGATTGAACGGGGGTTAAAATCAAAACCTAATCTAATACAAATACAGAACTATTCACTATTGCCCTCAAAAGTATTGAATGGCATGGTGGCCTAATGGTGAAGACACTTACCTCCCACTCGGAAGGTTGAGAGTTCAATCCTAGGTAGCAGCAGATGTTTCTCTCCTAGGGCGCAAAGAGAAAATATCTGCTGTGAACTCCATTTAGGCATCAGGAAGGGCATCCGTCCAGTAAATGTTCAGCTGCATCCAGTTGTCCCAACTCTACCCCGAATTAAGGGATTACAGCAGAGGTGGGTTTCAGCAGGTTCTGACCAGTTCTGAAGAACCGGTAGTAGAAATTCTGAGTAGTTCGGAGAATTGGTAGTAAAAATTCTGACTGGCCCCGCCCCCATCTATTCTCTGCCTCCCAAGTCGCAGCTGATCGGGACAAAATGGAGATTTTGCAGTAGCCTTCCCCTGCCACGCCCACCAAGCCACACCCACAGAACCGGTAGTAAAAAAAATTTGAACTGCGTTCTGTTGTAATTTTTGCTTTGTTCCCATGCAATTCTTTAGTTGTACGCTATTAATTGAGCTTCAGGTCTTCTGGAATTAGGATATCAGGATTCTTCTTATGTTCATGTATAAAAGTTTTGCTATCCTATTTTTTTTTTTTTGTTGTTGTTGGTATGAATTATTTATATTCTCATTCGGATAAAATCAACAGCACCCGACTGTGATTAGTTTATTTCATTTTTTTTTCCCCCAGGCTGGTGACCATTGTCATCATTCAATATTAAAAATAAAGCAAGAATCTGATTCCCGTTAAAATGATTTAAAAATTAATTAAATGAAATGAATCAAGCGAAAGATGATGAACAATGCTACAGCATTCAGTACTTGCCGGCAAGAAGTCCTTTTCTGTTGCTTCTTCCCCAAGTGAGCATAGAAACGCAGCTTCTGCTAATTAAATTAGTTTCAATTAATTTGTTCCCTTGTTTTCAATTAAATATTACTAATTTTAGCTGGATCAAGGCCATTTAACTCCCTCCAGTTTTTCCTAATGCAGAAGCAGGGAAGGGAAAAAACAGGGGTGAAATCCAGCAGGTTCTGACAGGTTCTAGAGAACTGGTAGCGGAAAGTTTGAGCAGTTCAGAGAACCGGCAAATACCACCTCTGGCTGGCCCCAGAGTGGGGTGGGAATGGAGATTTTGCAGTATCCTTCCCCCAAGAGTGGGGTGGCGATGGGGATTTTGCAGTATCCTTCCCCTGGAGTGGGGTGGGAATGGAGTTTTTGCAATATCCTTCCCCCAGGAGTTGGGGAGGGAATGGGGGTTTTGAGGTATCCTTTCCTCAGGAGTGGGGTGGGAATGGGGATTTTGCAGTATCCTTCCCCTGGAGTAGGATGGGAATGGAGTTTTTGCAATATCCTTCCCCCAGGAGTGGGGAGGGAATGGGGATTTTGAGGTATCCTTTCCTCAGGAGTGGGGTGGGAATGGAGTTTTTGCAATATCCTTCCCCAGGAGTGGGGAGGGAATGGGGGTTTTGAGGTATCCTTTCCTCAGGAGTGGGGTGGGAATGGGGATTTTGCAGTATCCTTCCCCTGGAGTAGGATGGGAATGGAGTTTTTGCAATATCCTTCCCCAGGAGTGGGGAGGGAATGGGGATTTTGAGGTATCCTTTCCTCAGGAGTGGGGTGGGAATGGAGTTTTTGCAATATCCTTCCCCAGGAGTGGGGAGGGAATGGGGGTTTTGAGGTATCCTTTCCTCAGGAGTGGGGTGGGAATGGGGATTTTGCAGTATCCTTCCCCTGGAGTAGGATGGGAATGGAGTTTTTGCAATATCCTTCCCCCAGGTGGGGAGGGAATGGGGATTTTGAGGTATCCTTTCCTCAGGAGTGGGATGGGAATGGAGATTTTGCAGTATCCTTCCCCTGCCACGCCCACCAAGCCACACCACACCACGCCCACCAAGCCATGCCCACAGAACCAGTAGTAAAAAAAAAAATTGGATTTCACCACTAAGAAAAACCTTTCCTGCATATGTCCCAAAGATGCTTTTTCAGGAGGCAACTGGATTTTCTTGTTTTTTCTTTGAAGAGGTTTCGCTTCTCATCTAAGAAGCTTCTTCAGCTCTGACAGGATGAATCCCTGTTTTTCTTTTCTCTTTCTTTTCTTTTTCAATAGACACAGGCATTCATATTTTTTTTATTAAACAGATTTTTTAAAAAACAAAAAGAGATATTAACACTTTCTTCTTTTCAACAGTTTCGCGTTGGTAATCCATACTTATACATTTTCTCTCTCTTATTGTAATCTATCTTTTATACATATATTTATAACATATCATATATATATACCATTATAATTTATTATGTTATTCTAATTGTTTATTTATTTATTTATTTATTTATTTATTTATTATTCAAACTTCTATACCACCCTTCTCCTTTCGGACTCAGGGCGGTGAACAGCCAAAATAAAAACATTTATACATAAAGTTACAGTTAAAAATAGATTTAAAATAATTAAATAAACTTGGCCCGTAATTTAAAACTTATCAATTTAAAATCCGTATCAAATTTTAAAACCAACCATAAAATCAAGACAGACCGGCTAACTGAAAAAAATAAGTTTTTAGGGCCTGACGAAAAGTCCGGAGGTCGGAGATCACTCGTATCTAGGCCCTCTCTGTGGGAGCGGACTGGCCGGTGGGAGGCTATTGGTGGCAGAAGGCGGTCCCGTAAGTACCCTGGCCCTAAGCCATGGAGCGCTTTAAAGGTGATCACCAACACCTTGAAGCACACCCGAAAGTCCACCGGGAGCCAATGCAGCTCGCGCAGGAGAGGAGTCACATGGGAGCGCCCCGTCGCTCCCATAATCCCCCACGCGGCTGCATTCTACACCAGTTGGAGCCTCCGGGTGTACCCCAAGGGGAGCCCCATGTAGAGAGCGTTATAATAGTCCAGACGAGAGGTGACGAGTGCTTGAGTGACCGTGCGTTACATTTGACATAAACTTGTACACAATTTCCTTTCCGCAATTTTTATTTCTTCCCATTTCTTGCTATATTTCTCCACCTAGTTCAACTGTTATTTAGTCTTCCCTTGTCCTTTTTTCCCTTTTCCTCCAACCATTTATACCATCTCTCCCAGACTAAGTAATATTCTGTTTCCTCTTTTTCTTGTATCTCTTTCGTAAGCTTATCCATTTCTGCACACTCCATGATTTTTCAGATCACATTGTCTTCTGATAGTATATTGTTATTTTTCCAGTTCTTGGCATACACTATTCGTGCTGCTGTAATTATGTGAATGATTAAATATTGTATTTCTTTTTCGTATGACCCTGAAATTATTCCCAGTAAGAAAATTTCCTGAAAGTTGGTTCCTATTTTTTCTACTTGCATTTTTTTACGTGCTTTCGAACTGCTAGGTTGGCACGAAGCTGGGACAAATAACGGGAGCTCACCCTGTTACGCGGCACTAGGGATTCGAACCGCTGAACTGTCGACCTTTCGATCGACAAGCTCAGCGTCTTAGTCACTGAGCCATCCTAATCTGTACTTATATCTTTGGTTTTTCCTAACTAGCTGTAATACCTTGCTTTTTTCCTGCTCTCAATCACTGCGGATATGACTGAATGGTTAATACAACAAGTTTTTTGCTCAAAACACACGACAATAAATGCAACAGTATTGATTCTTACCAGAATATGCAATCGTTGACAGAGTGACAGGTTGGGTCTTAGTCGGCTGCCACCTGCTTGCCGTCCAATAAATAATGGGATCGTCTTTGATCTTTCAATTCAGATAAAATCAAATGCGGCACGGATTATTACTTTTCCACGAGAAGCAAAATCCTCCCAGTTGAAAAGTCTTTCTCGAGGCAATTACTTATTCCTGAAAGTGTCTTTTCTAGCAGCCCTTCGATAGGAAGGGATTAATGCACGAAGGAAAGAAAGAAATCCCTCTGAACAAAGATTAAGTCGCTACATTTGGAACGTGGAAAATAAAACTTGTTGAACCCGAGTCGAAACTAACCGCCACAGTCAGCGAGGAGAAAAAAAAATCTTATTTTCTGGCTGTCGTGATTCGGAAGGCCGAATGGTGATTCAGGTCACTGTGGGTGCCGCAGGAAGGAAGTGACCTCAAAAGGAGAGGAAGAAAAGGGAGGAGAAAGAGGAGCAGAGGAGAAGGTTAGAAGGGGGGAAAGAAGAGAGGAGAGAAGAGGTGAAAGAAGAAAGGGAAAAGGAGGGGAAGAAGAGAGAGGGGAAGGAGTAGAGAGAGAGGAAGGGAGAAGAGAGGAGAGGAGGGAGAGAAAGAAGAAAGGGAAAAGGAGAGGAAGAAAAGGGAGGAGAAAGAGGAGCAGAGGAGAAGGTTAGAAGGGGGGAAGAAGAGAGGAGTGGGGGAAGAGAAGGGGAAGTAGGAAAGAGAAGGAGAGGAAGAACGAAGGAAGTAGGAAAAGAGAGAGGAAGGAAGAGAAGGGGAGGAGAAGAAGAAAGGTTGGAGTAAAGGTAAAGGGTAAAAGAGCAGCCCCGAAAAAGTAAAAATGAAAAATGAAAGTTAAAAGAAAAGATGAATGAAAAACGATGGAAATGACTGTACAAGTAAACGTGTTTATGAGAAATACAAAATAAAAAACTTTTTTGAAGAAAAAAAAAGGAAGGAAGTAACCTCACCCCACAGAATTACTGACAGCTGTCTCTGCCGTAAATCAACAAAACGGTTTCCCATTAACAACAGGAAAAATTAAAAATAGGTTTTATATTGCTGTAGGATTTCTGCCTTAGGTGAAAAATCTATTCGTTTGATGGAAGGACGGAAGGCTGAGTCAACCTTGAGCTGGTCAGGGTCAAATTTCTGGCTGTGGGCAGAGTCAGACTGCAATACTGCGTTCTCACCATTGTGCCATCAGGAGGGAGAATGGGAAAGGGAATAAGGGAAGGAAGGAAGGAAGGAAGGAAGGAAGGAAGGAAGGAAGGAAGGAAGGAAGGAAGGAAGGAAGGAGAGAGGGAGGGATAGCAATAGCACTTAGACTTATATATCACTTCACAATGCTTTACAGCCCTCTCTAAGTGGTTTACAGAGTCGGCATATTGCCCCCAACAATCTGGGTCAGGATCGAACTCCTGGCAGTGGGCAGAATTAGCTTGCAATACTGAATTCTAACACTGTGCCACCAGGAAGGAGAGTGAGAAAGGGAATGAGAGAGGAAGGAAGGAAGGAAGGGAAGGAGGGAGGGAGGGAGGGAGGGAAGGGAAGGAGGAAGGGAAGGGAAGGGAAGGGAAGGGAAGGGAAGGGAAGGGAAGGGAAGGGAAGGGAAGGGAAGGGAAGGGAAGGGAAGGGAAGGGAAGGGAAGAGAGGGAGGGAGAAGGAAGGAAGGAATAGCAATAGCATTTAGACTTATATATCACTTTACAGTGCTTTACAGCCCTCTCTAAATAGTTTACAGAGTCAGCATATTGCCCCCAACAATCTGGGTCCTCATTTTACTGACCTCAGAAGGACAGAAGGCTAAGTCAACCTTGAGCTGGTCAGGATCGAACTCCTGGCAGTGGGCAGAATTAGCTTGCAATACTGCATTCTAACCACTGTGCCATTAGGAAGGAGAATGGGAAAGGGAATAAGTGAGGAAGGATGGATGGATGGATGGATGGATGGAAGGAAGGAGGGAGGGAGGGAGAGTAGCAATAGTACTTAAACTTATATACCAACCTCGGAATGATGAAAAGCTGAGTTAACTTTGAGCCGATCAGGATCGAACTCCTGGCAGTGGGAATACAGAGTCAGCCCGCAATACTGCATTCTAACCACTGTGCCATTAGGAAGGAGAATGGGAAAGGGAATAAGAGAGGGAGGGAGGGAGGGAGGGAGGGAGGAAGAAAGAGTAGCAATAGTACTGGAAAGCTGAGTTAATTTTGAGCCGATCCGGATCGAACTCCTGGCAGTGGGAATACAGAATCAGCCTGCAATACTGCGTTCTAACCACTGTGCCACCAAGGAATGCAGAAATCCTCTCTGATTCTGCTCAATGTCTTTCTTTTTCTTTTCTTTTTTTTTCCTTCAGGAGAACCGTGTCCAGAGAACGGGCGAAGTCCAGGCTCTGTGTCTACCCACCACAGTTCCCCCAGAAGCGACTATGCGACGTACGCCAACAGCAACCACGTCGGCTCCAGCAACAACGCAACGCCCCCCGAGAGCTTCCCTTCGCACAGCCTGCCAACCAGCGACGTCATCATCCATCGGAAAGAAAACGAAGGGTTTGGATTCGTTATCATTAGCTCCTTAAACAGGCCCGAATCTGGGTCGACGATGGGTAAGTTGAATCTTCTGTTTGACCTTGTTTCTGTGAGCCCTGCATTAAAACCCTGAGCAAGCTATCCGAGAGGTGCTTTTTTCAAAAGGCGACTGGTCTTCCTTGTTTTTTCGTTGAAGACGTTTCGCTTTTCATCCAAGAAGCTTCTTCAGCTCTGACTGGATGGCGGAGAACAAAAGGATTTATAGTCCTCGCAGACAGCAGCTGGTTATTTGCATCCTTTTAGAGAGTCATTGAGGCCACTTGGAGGTTTGTCTGTGTCCTCAGAGTCACCTGAGTTGTACAAATGAGCATGGACTAAGGACACAGAAGCCTTGGTAGTACAGTGGTCTAAGGCACCCTGTTATTAAGCTGGTTATTAAGACCAGATGCCTGCAATTACTGCAGGTTCGACTCTCGCCAAGGCTCAAGGTCGACTCAGCCTTCCATCCTTTCTAAGGTAGGTAAATTGAGGACCCAGTTGTGGGGGCAATAAGCTGACTTTGTATAAATATACAAAAGAATGAAGGCTATTGCTTAGCGCATTGTAAGCCGCCCTGAGTCTCCGGAGAAGGGCGGCATATAAATCAAATTTTAAAAAAAAATTCCAAGTGGCCTCAATGACTCTCTAAAAACAATGCAAATGACCAGCTGTCTGGAGTATAAATCCTTCCAAAGTAAGGTTCCACATTTAGGCAAGAAAAACAAAATGCACAGGTACAGTATATGTGGTACCTTGCTCAATAGTGGTAACCATTGAGCCGAGGTGGCGCAGTGCTTAGAGTGCAGTACTGCAGCTACTTCAGCTGACTGCTAGTTCGGCAGATCAGCGGATCAAATCTCACCGGCTCAAGGTTGACTCAGCCTTCCATCCTTCCGAGGTGGGTAAAATGAGGACCCAGATTGTTGGGGGCAATATGCTATTTAGTATACTGCCTTTGGTGTAAGCCACCCAGAGATCTCGGAGAGTGGGCGGCATAGAAATATGAATAATAAAATAAAAAATAAAATTAAACTCTGAGAGGGATCTTGGAGTTCTAGTGGACCAATCATTTAAATATGAGCCAGCAGTGTGCAGTGGTAGCCAAAAAAGCCAATGCAATCCTAAATTGCATTAACAGAGGGATAGAATCAAGATCACGTGAAGTGTTAATACCACTTTATAATGCCTTGGTAAAGCCACACTTGGATACTACATCTAGTTTTGGTCGCCACAATGTAAAAAAGATATTGAGACTCTAGAAAGAGTGCAGAAAAGAGCAACAAAGAGGATTAGGGGATGATTGGAGGCTAAAACATATGAAGAACGGTTGCAGGAACTGGGTATGTCTAGTTTAATGAAAAGAAGGACCAGGGGAGACATGATAGCAGTCTTCCAATATCTCAGGGGCTGCCCCAAAGAAGAGGGAGTCAAGCTATTCTCTAAAGCACCTGAAGGCAGGACAAGAATCAACGGGTGGAAACTAATCAAGGAGAGAAGCAACATAGAACTAAGGAGAAATTTCCTGACAGTGAGAACAATGAATCAGTGGAACAACTTGCCTCCAGAAGTTGTGAATGCTCCAACACTAGAAGTTTTTAAGAAGATGTTGGGTAACCATTTGTCTGAAGTGGTGTAGGGTTTCCTGCCTAAGCAGGGGGTTGGACTAGAAGACCTCCAAGGTCCCTTCCAACTCTGTTATTCTATTCTATTCATTCTCCATCATCCAATCAGAGCTGAAGAAGCTTTTTGGATGAGAAGCGAAACATCTTCCAAGAAAAACCAGAAAGTCCAGCTGCTTTTTGAAAAAGCACCTTTGGGACAACCATGACTTAGATGACTGAGAACTTCCACAGACGCCTGAACAAGCCATTTTTCTAGCAACAATAATTGAGGACTATTTAACCATAGAGTTCAGCGTTGAATCTCTCTTGATGTCCTTGGAATCCATAAAACAGATTATTTCACCTGGTTTAGCTAAATGTCTGTGGAAATTCTCAGTCATCCAGGTCATGGTTGTCCCAAAGGTGTTTTTTTTTTTTCAAAAGACAACTGGACTTTCTGGATTTTTCCTTGAAGACGCTTCGCTTCTCATCCAAGAAGCTTCTTCAGTTCTGTCAGAAGTTCTATCAGAAGTGAAGGAGCTCCTCCGATGAGCAGCGAAACATCTTCAAGGGAAAAAAAAGGCCTCTCGGTATTTGAGAGATTGCCACAAAGAGGAGGGGGATCGACTTGTTTTCCAAAGCACCAGAGGGCAGCTACGGATGCTTCATCACCGGAAGGTTTTTAAGAAGAGACTGGACAGTCACTTGTCAGAACTGAAGGAGCTTCTTGGACGAGAAGCGAAACGTCTTCAAGAAAAAAAGCACCTTTGGGGAACATTTCCCTGGGTTGTCTGTTTCCACGTTGGTCATGAACAAACACATAAGATTTAAAGAGTTCCCTATTCAACCTCTAAAAAAACGGAATGAGTATTAAGCATTCACATCTATCCAGCAAAACATAAAAGAATCCGTTTCGTTTTTTGCAGCCATCGTCAGATTCAGAAATGTGAAAAAAATTCAGGCAGCATAAAACGCACCAGGGCATCCTTAATATCCAATATTTCTAGTGTTGTTTTTGGAAAAGAGAATCCCGTTAAATTACTCTTGTTGAATTACCTTCTTTTTTTTCTTTTTCTTTTTTACAATTTGTGCACGTATATGTCACTTGTGACAAACTTTTTCTAATGTGGGGTGGGGGAGAGTCATAAATTCATCGTGGGGACAGACTCTGCGAATCGTTCACCCTCTGGGCTAAAGGGAAAATCCGCCCATTAAATTCACATAGCATTAAATTGCAGCATGAATGGCTCCCCTTGGAAGAGGATGAAGAGAAATTAGAGATGTGTCTTCCTGGTCTTCTAAAATGGCATAGAACCAGTGGTGGGATTCAAATAATAGAACAACTGGTTCTCTGCTCTAATGACTGACTGAATGGGCGTGGCCATGGTGGGCATAGCCAGGCGGTATGACAGGCAGCACTTGGCCTCCCGCAACCCCCTGGGAGCAACAACGGGCCATGGGGGGATGCGCAGTCCCCCGGTTCCCCATTTTGGGCCTAGTAGGCCTCCCCGAAGCCTCCTGGGAGCAAAAACGGGCCACGGGGAGATGCTCTGCCCCACTGTGCCCCATTTTGGGCCTAGCAGGCCTCCCTGAAACCTTCTGGGAGCAAAAACGGGCCACGGGGAGATGCTCCGCCCCACTGTGCCCCATTTTGGGCCTAGCAGGCCTCCCTGAAACCTCCTGGGAGCAAAAACAGGCCGCAGGGAGATGCTCCGTCCCCCCGTTGCCCATTTTGGGCCTAACAGGCCTCTCTGAAGCCTCCTGGGAGCAAAAACGGGCCACGGGGAGATGCTCCGCCCCCCCGTGCCCCGTTTTGGAGCTAGCAGGCCTCCTGGGAGCAAAAACGGTCCACTGGGGGGCATGCCGCACCCCCCGCACCCTGTTTTGGGCCTAGTAGGCCTCCCTGCACTTACCTGGGATCTAAAATAAGGCACATGGGGACTCCTGGAAGGGGCGTGGAGGGGAAGGACAGGGCCAGCCAGCAATTTAACTACCGGTTCGCCCGAACCACCTCGAACCGGCTGAATCCCACCACTGCATAGAGCGTAGAATAATAGGGTTAGAAGGGACCTTGGAGGTCTTCTACTCCAACCCCCTGCTCAAGGAGTGAGATCCTATAGCATTTTGGGCAAGTGGCTAGCTGTCACAACTCTTCGGCATGCAGGAGATGAAGCTTAAAGATCCATTTCGAGGATATGTTTTGTACGACCTGTTGACGTTCATACATGATAGGTGTGCTTGGATTTCCTTGTAGAAACTTCCCGTGGGTTTTGTTTGTTTGTTTGCAGTTCCCTTGATGCAAGATTGATGTTTTGAGAATTTAGTGGGACCCAGAGTCATTCTCAGCCTTACATACCAGAAGATCCAGGCTGGAAGACGTCACTGGATACAATCAAGAGAAAGCTAAGTGAGCTTACGTTCAGTTGAAATCAATGAGAATTAAGTTCAGAGATAAGCACTTAAGCCCCATTGATTTCATAGTTAACTTTCTCTGGATTGTGCCCACTGTATTTCAGTGCTCTCCTCCTATGTCCGTCTGTGGCCGAGGCTTTCTAGGTGATTGTTTTTGTATTAAAACTAGCAATATTTGCCGTACTTACCTCTGGATTGACAAGGACTCTGTGCTTGTTTCAGGTCAGCTGGCCAAGGGGTGCAAAATATTAGCTAGTAGCTACTCTCTCCCCAATGAATGAAATGGGAAAGGGGGGGTAGAGGGAGGAAGGGAGGGAGACTTACAGATTAAGGAAATCTTAATCTTAAAATCTGTAAGGAAAGTCCAGTTGCCTCTTGAAAAAAAAGAGTCACCTGGGTGACTGAGAATCTCAGTCCTGAGTGACTGAGAATCTCCACAATCATAAGTTACATTTTTCGGTGCTGTTGTCATTTCAAATGATCACTAAATGAATGATTGTAAGTCGAGGACTACCTGTATATTATGGCTGGACTGATCACAAATTGCATTTCATGAAACTTTTTTTTTAATAGCTGCTTGTAGAAATTGGGAGTCCCTATTAGTAATAGAAGTCAGATTCATCAGTTTTGAACTCGTGCAAAACTGGGGAATTGGGTAAGTCTAGTTTAATGAAAAGAAGGACCAGGGGTGACATGATAGCAATCTTCCAATATCTCAGGGGTTGACACAGAGAAAGGGGAGTCCAAAGCACCTGAAAGCAGAGCAAGAAGCAATGGATGGAAACTAATCAAGGAGAAATCCAAACTAGAACAAATAAAAAAAAAATCTTGACAGTTAGAACAATTCATCCGTGGAACAACTTGCTTCCAAAAGTTATGGGTGCTCCAACACTGGAAGTTTTTAAAGAAGAGATTGGACAGTCACTTGTCTGGAATGGTATAGGGCCATGATGGCGAACCTATGGCACGCGTGCCACAGGTGGCACGCGGAGCCATGTTGCCTGGCACGCCAGCTCAGCTCCGTC